AGTTCGGGACGGTCTTGCCACTCCGAAGGGTCGCGTGGATGTCGCGATAGTCGGGGCAGTGGCGGTACTGAGTGCGAAACTCGTCGATCACCAGGTGGGGGATGGTGGTGACCCTGTCTCTTATACACATCTAGATGTGTACTCTCTCTCTCTCTCTCTTTCTCTCACACACACACACACACACACACACACACACACACACACACGTTTTTATAGGGAAGTATGTTATTGTCACAACAAAGATTTATAGGGGGGCAAAAAAAATATGCGTCGAAAAAAACAAGAGCGAGTTTAAAAATGGCAATAAAAGCATCGTGGCTGTAGTATCAAGCTGGGTGTCATATTTTATAAGGGTCGCCCATGATGTCAGTTAGGGAAAGAAAATAAAAAAATAAAGAACTTATGAATGTTTTTGAAGTGAAATTGTCGTTTTAAAGCCGTTGCCTATTTTTCTTTCGGCACGTTTTTTTTTGCCTTTGCGAACGCATAATTTGTCACGTTCACTTTTTTTCTTTTTCCCCAAAAGTTTTGTTTCACCTTACTAGAGAAGGTAAAACGAGCATTTTTCTATAACTAACATACGACATAATGGTCCTATTTATTGGTAGGGAGCAATACCTCTTGGAAATTGAGGTCGACATTTCATTAAAATTATAAATAAAGCATCGATCGAACCTCACACACACACACTCTTATAATTTTGTATAACGAATGGGTTCAAACTTAGTTGTTGATATTATGGTGTGGAAATCCAGTCTCATAATTTCAGCTTCTGCGCCCCAACGAAGTCATTCGAGTGGGGTTGTAGGCCCATGGATTCCTTATCCTCATCTCTAAGGGTCAACCTCCAATGTTTATCCGAAGTGTCGTGTGCACAAAGCAAAAAACAACGCCAGAATGGAGACGGTTTGAGACATGACTACTATAAAATGCTCATTGTGTATTTAGTATGCTTAATTTTGTAAAAATATTGGTCAAGATGCAATGCCTTGATAATTTTATAGATTATAGCGTTGCCGAGGGGAAGGGTTATTTAAAGGCGAAGGTTTATTTTGTTCAATATGAATCCAAATATTGATTTGCAGAAAGTATACTTATTATGAATTCAGTACTTTAGAGTGATCGTAAAGTGTGCCAAATTTTTTAAATTGCATAGTTTTAGTGCAATTTTTATGACGATGTTATAAGTGTGCGGTAAAAATCAACTAAAGTAAACTGCCCCAATTTATTTTTTCCATACAAATTGAGTTTATTTGACATAGGATGAAGTATTATAAATCATTTTTTTTATCTTTTTGCTTCCAATGTTGGTCTTTGTAGTGTAAAATGCGATAATATGATACAACAATTGTGTTATCTTATAGAAGATAGAAAACAACCATAAACTTTGACACGTTATTAACCATTTTGTTAGTTCATCAACAAACTGTGATGGACCGCTATCCCGGCGGATCCATCAAGATGAAGACGATGGGTTGATGATGGGGAAATGGAGATGGAGATGGAAGGGACAACGCAACTCCGACTCAAACTCAACACGTACGTACTCCAAAATTTGCCAAATGAAAAATGAATGAAACCAGACTGCGGTTGGGGTATACCCCCAGGAGACTGACTGGATGATACTGGACTGGACTGGTACCGACAGTTGTACCGGACAGAGATGGACTGGACTGAAACAGCACACGGCCTGTGAGGTCAGGCCACGACCTGGTCCCATAAGACGAACATGCAAATAGCCTGATAGATCCTGGTTGTAGGTCAGGTCATATAGAAGCCCGTTGCACGATCCTCAAATATGCAGTGAATCTCAAAAACCATAAACACACTATCCCCCAAAAGCAGTGAAACTCTGCAATAAAGAAAGTTGAGAAATTTAGGATGAGGGGCAAACTCCATGCGAAGTCTATGCAATGTATACACATCCTAAATAACAGCAGAAAATGTGTAGCAAGATACAATCCTAAAGTCTTGGAGACAATTGCCTCAGTGCTGAAAGGAAAAGTGAGCAATATGTCACAAGTAATGTCATGTCGATGAACCAATAGGAGTGGGATGGTCTCAGAGGGGGTGAATGCAGCCTAAGACAACAAAAAAATTCCCACAAGAAATAAAAGTTGAAAAAACATTCAATTAAAAAACAATCCTTCATATTTAAAAATATCATTCAAATGTTCATCCAATTCTAAAATTTTCAGTTTTATTTAACATTTTCATCTAAAAATGAGTTTTTTCTTCCAACTACATCTATTTGTTGAAGATGGAATGAAAGTCTTTACAAATTTATGAAATATTTTAATTAAACTTTTATTCTTCTATAACAAATATCTTCTAATTTATATTGAATTAACCTATTTATGACTATAATTTCTTATATAGAATGACAGTCCAATTAAAATATTTAATAAACTCATTCAGACTTCCATTTCATTTTTAGCATGCAGTTAAAATAAGATAGAGTACCCCATTTGTGGCGGACCCACCAGTTGTGGTGCTCCGCCTGTGATAGAGATGGAGATGGAGGATAAGGGTGGAGCAAAATGACACAACGCAACTTCAACTAAGACTCCAACGCACATACTCCAAACTGTGCAAATGTAGAATGCCCCAAAGTACAGATTCTGGCTGGGGTATACCCCAACGGACTGACTGGACTGGACTGGACTACTGGTACCGACAAAGGTACCGGCCTGGACTGAACTACCCCGAATACAACACAGATCTGTGAGAACAGGCCAAGGGGCTGGTCTCACAGGCCAACCAGAGGTCCGCTTCACGATCCTCGGCGTGTGATGAATCGCCTAGATACAAGAACACTTCCTCAAAGAAGCAGAATTCTACCAAAGAAAAAAAAAACAACGAGTAATCTAGGATGCGGAGCAAGCTCCATGTTGAGTCCATGTGATGCAACTTAGGATAAAAAATGTCTAAAAAACAACAAT